ACAGTATCATGACGCGAGCGTGTGGCGGCGCCGGTGCTGACCCAGATCCGGCGTGATGACGTCATTACACCAGATCTGGGTCAGCGCCACCACATGCTCGCATCATGATACTGTCGTGAACGCGCGTCCAAAGTGACAAAAATATGATGGAAGATGATGAACGAAGGTCTTATGGGTTTGGAACATCACGAGGGTGAGTAATTAATGACAGAATTTTCATTTTTGGGTGAACTAACCCTTTAATGTGCCTATTTGGAAGTCAGTTCCAATTTGATGAGGCTTTTTTTTTATCATGCATCATGTGATGGGTTGTTTATACAACAGGTTTAAAAAACAACAACAACAACAGTGCATGTGCTTCTCAACAGGGTATTTTAAACATGGCTTAATACAATACCATTAATTGTTTTTTAATAAATACGTATACTTTTTCAAACAAGAATGCATTAAAATCGATCAAGTAACAATAAAGGTATTTATAATGTTACTTATTATTTAAATTTCTGTCAAAGAATCATGAAAAAAGTATCAGTTTCCACAAAAATGTTAAGCAGCTCAACTGTTTTCAATTTTGATAATAATAATAAGAAACATTTCTTGAGCACCAAATGATTTCTGAAGGATCATGTGACACTTAAAACAGTAATGGCTACTGAAAATTCAGATTTGCGAACACAGGAATAAATTACAATGATCGATTTAAAAATGGAAAATTAAAAAAAAAACAAAAAAAAAAACATAAAAGACCACAGAGCATGTCAAATGTTTTCCTATACAAACAATTTGAAGTTAGCACGCCAAGAGACCTCTTCAAAAGTCATGTTTTGCTTCTGTTAGAGTTAAGATCAAAACAGGGTTTAGAAATAACCATTCCAGTGTGGACCAAAAAGAGCGTTACACAGGCACTGCCAGAAGAGGTGGGTGTGAGGATGTGGGTAGGTGAATATTTCAAATACACACAGGGTTACTGTTTTATTAATAGCTAATGGTGATTAATGCTGGTTTCTTGATGAGGAGCTGAATACATACCAGCGAACTCTTCAGCTAGTCTATTTGAGAGACAAACTCCTGCTGAATCATAGAAAGGAAAGAATGAAAATTAAATCTAATTATCCAGATGGAACTCTGGCTGTCATGAAGTAAAAAATGATTTCATAGAGACCACTTAATACCACTGGAGTTTTTCCCAGAACTCCTTTACAGTAGAGCCCTGGCTCAAAAGAGCAGCCATAAATCTCTGCTTGTTTGTGCTGCAGTGGCCATGTCAGCCTTTCAGAAACTCACTTGTGATTTGTTAGCTGAATGGAACTTTGGGCTTCGAGGTGGTCACCGTGGTGATACGGCACATGGAGGGAAGGGCTTCTGTGAGAGCGGATCTGCTGGTTGGCTGGATGTGGATATTGGCCATCCTGTGCTTTTTCATCCCGATAAGAAACAGAATGAGGAAAGATAAATACAAGTCATATCAGCATTATTCAAGAAAATATATATTTTTATGGTTGGTTGGCGTTTTATCGCCATGCCAGCTTCCTTGGCTTTTTTTTATGCCAAGTAACCATAAATACATGAAATACTATGAAAGAGTTTTTTGGTAAAAATGATTCACGGTTGAATTTTTAAAAGCATTCTTCACAAGCATTTAATTTATGTTAACTATATATATATATATATATATATATATATATACACACACATACAGCTGCTCTTATTTTAGGTTAATGTTAATTTATATACTATTGTTAATTGTTAATTAACATTAAAAATGAATGAAGTAATGTTAATTTATCAAGCCTGAAATGTTGACATTTTTTAGTATTGTATATTAAGAAATTACCATTAGATTAATAAACGCTGTAAAGTGTGTGAAATATTATTTATTTAGTTCATGATACATGAACTCATGATTGGATGAACTATTGATTACAAATTGAATCTTATTATAAGGTTTTGCTAAGTATTATTGTGTCTTCTGTATACAATTTTTTTTACATGCTTTTTGTGTGAAATGTCAAACCTACACCCACCCTGATCACTCCGGTGTTCTGACTGGCTGGTCAGGCTGCTCGGCCAGGGCAGGAGGGTGCTACTGGGCCAATGAATGGGGGATACTGAGCGAGAAAGGCTGGAAGAAGAACACCCTTCCTCCCCACCTCTCCTCCTAACAGGACCTGTGCATCCTTTAGACTTGATGTGTTCTCCTGGGGTATTTGAAGAGGGTTGTGAATGAGAGGGGGAGACCGCAAAAGGCTGTCTAGAAGGAGGAGCAGACTCTGGTCTTTCTGTGTTCTTTGTGTGTGGGCCAGACGGCCTGATGGAACTGGAGAAAACATCAGAAAGAGAAAAATATAAAAATTATACATTTCCTGGGATAGCAAAAACAGTCAACAAGATTTTCATATTTTCTGAATAAAATTTGAGTGCTTTTTTGTTTGTTTTATGAGACTTTTTCGCCCATTTTATCATCTAAGTGACATACTTGAAAAGTAAAAACACACCTCTCCTCTATAAACCAAAAGATTTGAGGTATCATGGATGTCCATAGCACAAATAGTGCAGGATGATTCCCTAACCCTACTTATGAGCAGAAACACCAATAACGCATTATAGTTCAGTTTTTATTTTATTTTTTAAATTACAGGTCGAAGTGCTGTACACAGTGAAGGTGCTTCATACCTCGCCACTGCCATCTGCTGGAGAGGACTGTGTACAGCAGGAGTGAGCTGACTGCTCTCAGAGCCCATAAAGCCAGTCTGTCTCTGGAGACTTGACCCCATCCTACAGTGTTACAAATACGCGTAAGAGCTCTACTTAAATAATATTAAAATTCTATTATTCATGCACATTAAGAAATAAATCCTTCAAATATGATATATAGTGTTGTTCATCACAAATAAAGTACAGTCACTGACCAGAGGGGATGCTCTGACAGTCTTGGCCTTAGCATTTAAGCCCATAGTTCTGGGTTCTGTGCTCTCTGCTAGGCTGGTCAGGCTACTGCTTTGAGTTTTCCTGTTTCCTGCCGCTTTCCTTTCCCTGCCCAGTTGCCCTGGCAACACCGAGGAGTGGCAAAAAGCCTCTGGGTGAGTTTCCATAGATTCACACACCTGTGACCTGACAGATGGGCTGGAGGGAGGGACACAATCTGCTGCTGCCTGCCTAAAGAAAGAGAATGGAGAGATGAATGAGAGAGCAAACAGCCAACACAGGTGTTGATAATGGTGGAGTGGACTGAACTGCTGTTACCCTCAACTACCTTACAAAACCTGGTAACAACATACAGCTGATGTTTAGATAACAAACACAGAAATATCATTATTGTGTCTGTGACAAACTTTTCATCACAGAATTACAATAATCTGGTAGAATGTCAGTAGGAACAGTGGTTTCTAAACAGTGTTATTATCATTAGCTAAAACTATTACATTCATTTAAATAATGAAATATTGTTTACAGATTACTGGAGAAGATCAGGCACACACAAAGCTGAGCGAATCACTGGTCCAACCCTTCCCACTCTCCAAGAACTGTACTCATCCAGAGTGAGTAAAAGGGCTGGCAAAATCATTAATCATTCCTCACACCCAGGCCACTTCCTCTTTGAACTGTTGCTGTCTGGTTGGCGCTACAGAGCACTGAGCATCAGAACGGCTAGGCATAAGAACAGTTTCTTCCCTCAGGCAATCCATCTCATGAACAATTAATTTGGCAATAAACGTGTAATACACAACATTATTTATACATTTATTTAACACGCATACTTCTTATTTACATTTCCTTGCATTTGTACGTAACATACCTGTACACACAAGTAACATCTATTGTCTTTTTTGTATATTGTGTATTTTTTTAAATATTTGTTGTATATTGTTATTTTCTATTTTCTTATCCAATTTTTTATTCTTTTTATTTTCCGTGTCGTCTTGTCACTGTCATGCTGTGGAAGCTTCTGTGACCAAAACAAATGCCTCATATGTGTAAACATACCTGGCAATAAAGCTCTTTCTGATTCTGATAATATTCCTCTCTTCTCTGACATATTGCTAGCATACCTAATATTCACTCAACCTATTCTTTACTGCCTAAAGTTACTGACCCCTTTGAGCTTCTAAAAATTTGAAAAGCTGATGTGAAACAGGCTGAGGACTCACTGCTGAACAGATTCTTTCATCTCTTGCTCATTAACAGTCCTATGTTGATGTCTGTTCATTAAGCTTGTATTCCCAGGCGGAGCAAAGACTCCAAAATCCAGCGAGTCATGGCTCTTTAAAGTCACAGTTGGGTCCAGCATCCCAGGGAGCTCTTTCAAACTCTGATAGCTGGGTATGAAAATAACAAGAGATTGAGCTTGACATGTAAAGCTGTTCATTCTCACACATGCTGGTCAAAGGTCACTCACCAGTCCATGAGCTTACAGAAGTCTTTCTCCACACGCTGGTGTTTGTCATAAAGGGGATGAAGAAGAAATGGGAGGATCTCCTCTTCCTCTCTGTCTGCATCACTCTCTCCGCTAATTGAACTAACCTCCATGCCAACACAAGCCTCAGGATGGGCAGCAGACAGTGGACTCTGAGAAAGAATGAAGGGGAGAATTAGTACTTTTCTGTCATTTATATCTGTGAGGTCAGAGGTTAGTGAGGTTTGGAGGTTAATTCTGAGGCACCTCAGGCAGAGGTTCGATCTCCAGCATGGACAAAGAAAGCACATCTGAAGGAGGCAGAGGGTTTAAAGTAGGTTCAGAAATGGGTTTGTTCTGTTCGGCTTGCTCCAGCCACTCCTTCAGCTCCTCCAATCGCATCCCTGACCTGAAGATCTGACCTTCTAGGTCCCTGTGTCACACACAAACACACAGTATGAACATAAGTACTTCAAACCAGTGGCACAGGAAGAACACAGGAAGCACAGCATCATCAATATTTGCATCAGCAACAAAAGACAATGACAAGTTTATCTATGTGCAAATAATATATTATTACAATTTAAAATACCTGTTTTCTATTTTAATATATTTTCAACTGTAATTTATTCCTGTGAGGCAAAGCTGAATTTTCAGCAGCCAGACTTCAGTCTCACATGATCCTTCAGAAATCATTCTCATGTGCTGGTGATATGTTGAAAAGAGTTGATCTGGTTAATATTTTTATTTTTCCATGAATAGAAATTTCAAAAGACCAGCATTTTTTTACAAATACAAATCTCTTGTAACATTATAAATGTCTTTACTGTCACTTTTTGATCAAATTCATGCATTCTTACTTAATAAAAGTATTAATTTCAAATAATTTTGGAATGGTAGTGTATATATACATATACATAAAAAGAGGCTACCTGTCTGGGTCAAAGGTTTCAAGCCCACCTTGTTGCTGCTGCTGCATCTGATACTGGCCTCGTGCATCTAGATAAGCCCTTTCAAGAGACTCCTGCCCCTGTGCCAGTGTGGAGAAACCCCGTAGATGATTCAGACCGAGTCAGTCTGACGTCATGCCTTTAAAAAATGCTTGTTTTTAGAAAAGCATGTTTTTAGAAAAGCATCAGCATACCTTTATCTGTTCACAGGGCTTGAGTTTCCCATTCTTTAGAAGTGCCTCAAAAGCATCAACCTGAACAAAAACAACAAAAAAAAGATTTTGGGTTTAAAGCACCGCTGTTAAAATAAAATGCCTGTTAATCTGAATTATCAAAAAGGTTATTTTAAAGTTGGTTACCTGTAGCTGAAATCTATGAGTCTGTTTGGTCAGAGTCTCTGTTAGATGGTCTGCAGTGAGAGATCCAGACCTCCTTGAGCTGACCGAGTTCACAGAGGAAGAGCAAGTTGGTGTTTTTCTAGAGTTTTCTACAATGTGATCAAAGCAGTTTTGAGATGATTTAACAATTATTCAGTTTGACTGCAAAGTAAATTTAGAAGAGATTATAAGACTGTTCTGAAATTAAATTTTTGTTTTAAAGTTGATACAAGGCATCTTGAAATTTAAACAAATGTGGTTTGGAACTCTTTAATGTGGCATGACAGATCGCTGGTAGACACCTTAGTTCAAGTGGCACGTGAACTGATCATATCTTCCTCTTTACTACTCGTAATATCACAAAATAAACATGAATAAACAGAAGGTATGTTGAAAGAAACGGTTTGTAATGTTTGTAAACAACACACTTTTTACGTTGATTATTAAATTAATTAATTAATTAATAGATTATTCAACTTTATTTTCTATTTCAGTTTTTAGTTAAAAAAAAAAAATTTCATTTCAGTTTCCGTAAAAAAAAAATCACTTCTTTTTGAGTATAATAGTGTGATTTTTAAATACAAGTTTTAAGTTTCAGTATGATGTACCTGAGTGATCCCTCTGCTGGGCCAGTTGAGCAGAGACTGCGCTGAACGCTGCCCTCTGCGCTTGAGGGAAATTGAGGGTTATGACCTTTGACCCTTCCTGAATAACACCTGACAGGATAGCTGTACTGGGTTTTGGGGGTTCAGAACAGAGACCCACCTGTAAACACACAGCACATACACAACAATCATGAGTTGATGATTAAAGTGCTGCTTTGGCCAAAAATGACAAAGAAATCAGCAACCATCTGTCTGAAAATCTACTTTGCCAATAATTCACGGGCCCATCACTATGCATAATGCCGTGTAAATCAATCCTGTGTCCTGTGTAAACAAATTAATGTCCCCTCTGTGCTCTACATAAAATGTCTTTAAATGCATGTTTATTGTTACATGGTATACTCTACCATTATGTGAAAAAAATGTATGTTTATATTATATTTATTATATTATCTCTATAGGTTTGGATCTGGACTATGATACAATAATTGGTGACATCTGATCTTAAGTATCTCAAGTAATCCCAACATATAGTGGGAAGAACATAAAGACTGTGTCGCCACCCATTATGTAGATGCTAAGACCATCAGAGAAATACAGCCCTGTCTTGCCACGTGACAGACCCTCAGATTTACTGCAGACTAGTGGCTGAACCACAAAGGAGCACAGAGGAGACTCACGTACAACAGGGCTCATAAAGCAGGCCATTTAATGGTGCTTTCCACTGCTGGACTTACCGATAAGACAATGGATAGAGTAATACAATGAAAATAGAATGTCAATAAGCTGATATCCATGCACCTTACCACACACACACATTCGTGACTTAGGTGTGAGGTAATGGGTTTGCTTGCTGTCTGAAACCTAATGGAGGCGAATGACTGAACCCTCTTGATAAGTCCCCGAGACACTAAATCATACTGAACATAACCTCAACATGACCTCAGAGTCTTTTGAATAAAACCACCCATTTTCCAACACAATCATCATTATTACAGGACCAATACCAGAAGCAGATCATCAGATCTCAATTAGCAGTCTTACCAGCCTATGCTTACAATTTTCACATAGGGGATCCCATAATTTGTAAATGACTTGACCCCTACCCTACATCAAACAAATATTATATTTCTGTCTGAATTTTAAGTGATTGGAAAGGCCATTTCCATTTTTACAGTTTTGTAATTTATCACCCACACCTATTCCCAGAAACCACAACTAAGTCAATAAGGGATTAAAGTGAATGAACCCGGTCTATCTCAAGCTGTTGTGTCTGTTAAAGCAGAGGCAGATGGCCAGGGCATGTGGCTGAAGAACTTAATGAGCATTAGAGAAAATGCAGCTGGAGACGCTAAACCGCACAGAGAAATAGCCTAAAATTAGCTACATTAAATAATTACCAACATTGCTCTTTTAATTTAGTTATGTAACAGTGAAAGTAGACATGACATCACATCCTGTTTTAATCCTGTTGATGGCTCAGGCCTAGATTTGTTTCAGGTCACTTTGTCACTTCACACTGTTGTTTATTAGCCGTTTTCTACAGAGGCAATGTATGACCTTATCAGACAAATAAACAGAGCTCGTTTCATCAAAACAAATGATAATGATAATGATAATGCCAATTAGGCTGTGAATCAATTTAAGTATTTAATCAATTTAAAAATATAATTGCATGTTTTTTCATATATAATGCACTGCATTCAATTCCTTTTAAAGGAAATGTAATAATTAATTTGTGCATTAACTGTGTAAAAAACAAAGTACTTATCTGCGTACATTTGTGTTCATATACAAGTATGCAGATAATATGACTTGTACAAGTAATGCTTTTTTATGTACACCGCTTATTGTCTCAGTTTGTTTATTTGTTTGCTAGCGTTTCTCTAAAATGGTTTGTGTCGTCTGAGGTAAGGAAAAACATCACAATCAGAGAGAGCCCGCAGTTTGAAAATGAGTCTGTGCTTGAATACGGTGGTGGTGCTGTTAAACTGAGGGCTGTGATTATGGCGTCACAAAAGAGATTCTGCATTTATATTGTGTTGACTCAGCCTGAGGAGTTTAAAAATAGCTCTCGCCGACATCAGAGCACACGCAGAAAGGAGACAGGCCTGCTGATACGAGGGAGAGTATGGCACTGAATTCACGTCAACCTTCAGATGAAGGGGAAAAAGCATAAAACCATAAACACAGTCTGTAAAGCCAACCTTTGCTTCAAGGCGAAGTCGGTCGATAGTATTTTCAGCTTCTGCATACTTGGTAAGCAGCCTGTTATAGTCTTCCTGTGAGAATAAGAGAGAGAGGAAAAAATAAAAGACATAGATAAAGAAACATTACAGATGGCTTCATCTTTTAGCCTCTTGGATAAATCAGCATTATTTTGAGTATCATTATGTTTGTAATGCTACACTTTTTACATAAAAAAAAATGGTCAAAACATAGTGAAGAACCAGTGCATACTGCAAAGGGACACTTAAGTTTCACTTAAACTTCCCTCTCTAATGTGAACAGGAAGCAGTACGAATATCAACCAGGATTTAAACATCTCGGACTACTTTTACATAAAACTGCAAATATGTATACTATTTAGAATATTACTGTTTAAAATGTTTATTGTTGCATACTGAATATGATTTGATTTACTTACACAGTATACACTCTGTTCAAATGTTTGGGGTTAGTATGATTTTTTAAAAGAAATTACTTTTTGTTTTAAATTTTTTTTTTTAGCAAAGATGCATTAAATTGATCAAAAATAAAGACATTTGCAGTAAAGACATTTATCATGTTACAAAAGATTTCTATTTCAAATAAATTCTGTTCTTTTGAACTTTCTATTAATCAAAGATTCCTGAAAAAATTATCACAGTTTCCACAAACTTATTAAGCAGGAACAACTCGGCATATCAGAATGATTTCTAAAGGATCATGTGACACTGAAGACTGGAGCAATGGCTGCTGGAAATTCAACTTTGACATCACAGAAATAAATTACATTACAAAAAATATTAAAATAGAAAACAGTTATTATAAAATAGACAGTTATTTTAAATTGTAATAATATTACAAGTCTTGGTGAGCATAAGAGACTTTCAAAAACATTAAAAAAAAAATCTTACCGACTGTATACTATGCAGTAAATAGTATACTAGTATTTCACTTCATGTTCATGCACATAATACATTTCAGTGCTTCCTGATTCACTCTTTACATACCTGTAGCTGCTGCATCAGTGTGCTGGCCTGCTGGGGGCAGCGGAACTCCTCTGGTACTGTGCAGTGCAGACGCTTGTGGGTCCCACTGGTGGAGGGACTTCTATGGGCTTACATTTCTGCCATAATTCTGCGCGCGAAAGATCATATTTTGAGCGCACAAAAGTGCATTTTGCACGCGCGCGATCTGAGTTTGTGGAGAAAATGTTGTTCATATACAAGTATGCAGATAATATGACTTGTACAAGTAATGCTTTTTTATGTACACCGCTTATTGTCTCAGTTTGTTTATTTGTTTGCTAGCGTTTCTCTAAAATGGTTTGTGTCGTCTGAGGTAAGGAAAAACATCACAATCAGAGAGAGCCCGCAGTTTGAAAATGAGTCTGTGCTTGAATACGGTGGTGGTGCTGTTAAACTGAGGGCTGTGATTATGGCGTCACAAAAGAGATTCTGCATTTATATTGTGTTGACTCAGCCTGAGGAGTTTAAAAATAGCTCTCGCCGACATCAGAGCACACGCAGAAAGGAGACAGGCCTGCTGATACGAGGGAGAGTATGGCACTGAATTCACGTCAACCTTCAGATGAAGGGGAAAAAGCATAAAACCATAAACACAGTCTGTGAAGCCAACCTTTGCTTCAAGGCGAAGTCGGTCGATAGTATTTTCAGCTTCTGCATACTTGGTAAGCAGCCTGTTATAGTCTTCCTGTGAGAATAAGAGAGAGAGGAAAAAATAAAAGACATAGATAAAGAAACATTACAGATGGCTTCATCTTTTAGCCTCTTGGATAAATCAGCATTATTTTGAGTATCATTATGTTTGTAATGCTACACTTTTTACATAAAAAAAAATGGTCAAAACATAGTGAAGAACCAGTGCATACTGCAAAGGGACACTTAAGTTTCACTTAAACTTCCCTCTCTAATGTGAACAGGAAGCAGTACGAATATCAACCAGGATTTAAACATCTCGGACTACTTTTACATAAAACTGCAAATATGTATACTATTTAGAATATTACTGTTTAAAATGTTTATTGTTGCATACTGAATATGATTTGATTTACTTACACAGTATACACTCTGTTCAAATGTTTGGGGTTAGTATGATTTTTTAAAAGAAATTACTTTTTGTTTTAAATTTTTTTTTTTAGCAAAGATGCATTAAATTGATCAAAAATAAAGACATTTGCAGTAAAGACATTTATCATGTTACAAAAGATTTCTATTTCAAATAAATTCTGTTCTTTTGAACTTTCTATTAATCAAAGATTCCTGAAAAAATTATCACAGTTTCCACAAACTTATTAAGCAGGAACAACTCGGCATATCAGAATGATTTCTAAAGGATCATGTGACACTGAAGACTGGAGCAATGGCTGCTGGAAATTCAACTTTGACATCACAGAAATAAATTACATTACAAAAAATATTAAAATAGAAAACAGTTATTATAAAATAGACAGTTATTTTAAATTGTAATAATATTACAAGTCTTGGTGAGCATAAGAGACTTTCAAAAACATTAAAAAAAAAATCTTACCGACTGTATACTATGCAGTAAATAGTATACTAGTATTTCACTTCATGTTCATGCACATAATACATTTCAGTGCTTCCTGATTCACTCTTTACATACCTGTAGCTGCTGCATCAGTGTGCTGGCCTGCTGGGGGCAGCGGAACTCCTCTGGTACTGTGCAGTGCAGACGCTTGTGGGTCCCACTGGTGGAGGGACTTCTATGGGCTTACATTTCTGCCATAATTCTGCGCGCGAAAGATCATATTTTGAGCGCACAAAAGTGCATTTTGCACGCGCGCGATCTGAGTTTGTCGAGAAAATGTTCGTTTCGCAAAGAAAAAGGTCTTTCGAGCGCACGGAAATCAATTTTGCATTTAAAATACGTTTTTGGATGTGTGCAGAACTTCTCTTTTGCGCGTGCAACGTTTCACTGGCTTGCTCACCTGATGCCCGCCCTCAGTGCTCTCTAAATGCCAACAGCTCGCATGCTCAACACAACCCAGCGTTACAATATGCCATAATTCCAGCCAATCAGAGACGAGGCTGCTAAATTCTGATTGCGTTCAAAATGAATGAATCGTTCAAGAACGACCCAACACTAGTGAGCAAGCTAGTGAAACGTTGCACGCGCAAAAGAGAAGGTCTGCACACATCCAAAAACGTATTTTAAATGCAAAATTGATTTCCGTGCGCTCGAAAGACTTTTTTCTTTGCGAAACGAACATTTTCTCCACAAACTCAGATCGCGCGCGTGCAAAATGCACTTTTGTGCGCTCAAAATATGATCTTTCGCGCGCAGAATTATGGCAGAAATGTAAGCCCATAGACTTCCTGGAGACCCATCAGAGCTGCTCAAAAGGACCTCTCTCACGATCTCAGCAGGGGACTTGAACACTACAGGAAGATCCAGGTGTGAAGTTCTATCATGAGGAGGCTGACGGCTTTTAGGAGGTTTGTATCCACTCTTTTTCGGGAAACGTACCCTCGGCTCCACTTTGGAGAAATCAGGTAAGGGGTGATTTAGCTGTCCTTTCCTAAGAAAACATATACAGCAATAATCAGTTCAAAAATAATGCTAAATTCAAAGTACGGACTAATCACATTATGGTTCTGTTGTTTTAAATTCTGGAAATATAAACTTAAAGCAGTACAACAAATTACATTTTCAAAGTTTATTTCATTTAAATTAAGGAATAAATATTTCATATACGTACATATAGTTTTAATTCACTTTTAATATTATTCATTCTTTTTAATATTATTTTTTGCAGAGAAATGTATATATTATATACTGATTAAAAAAATATTCTATTTAGGGGCAACTCTAACAAATTATGGGTCAAATTATTGCATCAAAAAAAAAAAAAGTCAAAAAGTCTTAAATCACATTATGAATTTGTGTCTATTTTTTATCTCACCTGATGTCATCTGGATCAGTGTGAGAGGTTTTGGAGGTCCTGTGGTTCTTTATTGCTGAAGACCGGTGAGGTGTAGGAGGTGGTGAACGCTCCGAGGGGGAGACGCTTGCTTTAGAAAATGCACTGTGCTGGAATGGAAACCTGATCGTCACAGGAAGCTGGGTTTGTTTTTCTGGGAGTGGGCGTTGGAGGCTGCAGATTGTGGTTAGGACTGTGTAGCCCTACTTTTTCTCCACTTGTACCATCTTGGTGTGTTTTTCTAAGTCTGATTTTTATTACAGGGCTTCTGGCTGAAGTTTGAGGTGTGACCTTTGGTTTAATCTCCTCCCCTTTTGATCTAACCATGTGGTACGTTTTAGGGGTGCTAAGAGATGACTTTGCCCTAATGCCTGGCTCTGGAAATGTTTCAGCTTCAATCCCACAGTTATTCATCAGTTCCCCTGAGGACAAATGGGGAAACCTGATGGGATTACAAGTGTTTCTAAGTGAAAGTGACGTGTGGCCAAGTATGGTGACCCATACTCGGAATTAGTGCTCTGCATTTATCCCATCCAAAGTGCACACACACAGCAGTGAACACACACACACACCGTGAACACACACCCGGAGCAGTGGGCAGCCATTTTTTTGCTGCGGCGCCCGGGGAGCAGTTGGGGGTTCGGTACCTTGCTCAATGGTACCTCAGTCGTGGTATTGAAGGTGGGAGAGAGCGCTGTACAATCACTCCCCCCACCCACAATCCCTGCCGGTACGAGACTCGAAACCGCAACCTTTGGGTTACCGATTCTCTAACCATTAGGCCACGACTTCCCCTAGAGATACGATGTAAGACTGGAAGAAGTTGTCAATTGGTTTCCTCAACTTCCTCACAATCACTTTGCTCAGAATGCTCTGGGATTCCTGAAATTGGAATATTTTGGGGGATCTCACTGTAATCACAGCTCTTTACACTTTCAAACATAGATGCCATCTCTTTTGTGACAGATAATGTTTGATCCATGAATCTCTGAGCATCTTCACATGTGTCCTTGTCTTCTGTTTCCTCATCGGTCATGTCTAGCACTGTGTCTCTCTGTGCGAAAGAGTTTAATTTGTGCCTGTGAATTGTTGGGATCCTTGTACCATCCTCATCATCAGTCCAATCCTCCAACAAAACACTTCGGCCATCATCTGTTTTGTGTTCTTCCTCTAAAAACGAGAGAATGTGAATCTTTTAGACCACATGGACTATTTTTATGATACTTACACTACCATTCAAAAGTTTGGGGTCGTGAAGATATTTGAATATTTTTGAAAGAAGTCTCTAATGGTCACCAAGGCTGCATTTACTTGATCAACAATACAGTAATAATTATAATATTGTGAAATATTAGTACAATTGTACTAAACAAGTACAAGCTGAATTTTCAGCAGCCATTACGCCAGTCTTAAGTGTCACCTGATCTTTCAGAAATCATTCTAACATATTGATTTTGATGGTTGATATTTTTGTGGAAACCGTGATTCATTAAAGTTAAGTTAACAAAGTTAAAAACACACATTTATTTGAAATAGAATATGTTGTAACAATGTAAAAGCATTTACTGTCACTTATGACCAATTTAATGCATCCTTGCTGAATACTGATTCCAAACTTTTGAACAGCAGTATATCTATGGATGAATAATGCTTTTATACAAAATTAAAATAACTTTATTACACTGGTACTATAGTGTAGCTTTAAGCTTTTAAACTCAGCTGGATGTTTAATGGATCTGAACCCTTACGCAGAGATGGAGAGCGGCAGTCATCTCCAGTGGCCTGAGAGAGCAGCTCAGAGTCCAGCAGCTCACTCAGGTGACAGCTTATCTCCTCTAGTGCAGGTGGTGGCCCATGCTCAGGCTCAGGGGTCTTCACATCCCACAACAGGTCTTCTGCATCTCCTCCTCTTCTCCCTGATTGACACAATCATAAGATGCTTATTAAACAGTTGCAAGTTTTAAAAAGCACCATTAATCTAGAACCAGGGCATATAAATTGATTCAATGTTTCTAATTAAATACAGTTGAACTCTGGCAAGTGTTTTTAAGTGTAATGAGATTCTTCTGATGAAGAGCCCTGGTGAGACTGCTCTAAATGCAGTCATTGCTCTAAATGACCAATAAATGGGCACCGAGTTTTTTTACCCATATATTTTGCAAAAAAACAATTTCACCATTGCATAAATTAAAAAGCCAAAATGTGCTTTTTACTGTTTTGTCTTGCTTTTCAAAGAAAAAAAATAAATTACAAAACAACAATTTAAAAATATTTAACACTGAACATTTTTAACATTCTAGCAGACACTTTACCAACAAAGCACAATTTAACTTAAAATTAATAAGTTAGTAAAATAATAATTTTTGGCCATCAGACCCCGTTCTTGAATCAGGCATGTTTTTTGTTTTTTTTACTGTACAATTAAAAGCAGGCTTGCTGAGAAGAGACTTCTTTTAAAACATTAGAATATATTACAGATCCTAATTTGAACACTATGTGTGAATGTTACAATAAATGTATTAAAACAGAGCTGTTGTAATGATTATTATCATTATTATTGTCTTACTTTTTTATTTTATTTCACAGAACAACAGTAAAATTACAATACTAACATTTATGAATGTTGATAAGAGTTCTTGCTTTTTCTCAACTTT